GTAGAGAGGCAATGGCTGGAGTGTTGTATATTGGGGTGGGAGAGAACAGATGGGATCCAGTGCCCTCCGACAGGTGCACAGATGGTCTTCCCTCAGCTCAGCATCTGAGTCCTGCAGTTGGCAGGGTCTGGCATAGACTCTTTCTGCTAGACACCTGAAGGGTTTGGGGGCAGTCCTGGGCTACCCCACCCACTCTGGCCCAGCCCACCCCTGGCCTTCTGTTCTCCTGCCCTGTATTCCAGTTCCCAGTTGAGGCTGGGCTGCCCCCCTAAACCCAGTCCGTCTCTTGCCCTGCCCATGGCCACCTTTCTGAGTGCCCCCTGCCCCAGCTGGGCCTGGCCTCCCTGGCTCTCGCCATCTCAGCTCATCAGTCCCTTTAGGGAGACCTAAACACCAGCCCCTGCTCACTCCCCAGCTGGGCTTGGACGACCACTTTCGGCAGTGAGGTATTTCCTCTCCATTCCCGTCTCTTCCTCTTCCATATTAGCCCTTCGGACTGAGGTGCCCGCTTTTCTTGCAACAAGTGAACTTGAGTTAGGACACTAGAGGCATCACCCTCAATGAACAATATCACTTTGTATATCTGAAGACAACATTCCCTAACAAAGGAGCCCTTCTAAAACAACCAAGGCAATGCAAAGATGCTGGGTAAGAGCCAACACATTCCTGATGGGGCCCTCCCAGAGGCTGCCTGGAAAATGCAAGCTTTGTTCAGGTGTGGAAGTGACAGGGAACGCAGGTGGGGGTGTGTGTGCCAGGAAATCAATGCAATAAATGGAAACTGATGCACTGTATCAGCATGGCCCTCAGACCCAAGTCAAGAGAGGACTTTGGGGATGGATTTTAGCACTAGTGTGATTCCAGAAGTAACACAAAGAACTAGGGTTCTCAAGCTTTCACAGGAGTCGCCTAAGACCATGGAAAAACACATATTTTCGATGGTCTTAGGAACCGAGACACCGCTCCTCTATCCGTCTCCAGGCCCACATGCAGATACGCCCACATACGAGTACCCGGCGACCCCTGTGAAAGGGTCGTTCGACCCTCAAAGGGGTCGCAACCCACAGGTTGAGAACCGCTGGTCTAGGGGGTGTGAAGGGACCTGGGAGCTGTTAGTGAGAGGGTTGAGTACCGCCCTTTGAAGGCTGGATAGGATTTGGCATTGGGCAAACCCGAGCAGGCACAAAAGGCTCTGGAGCAGAGGTGTGACATAGGCAGAACTGTGATCAAAGACACTCAATGGCACCAACATGAGGGCCTGGAAAGGGGGAAACCAGAGCTGTGGCACAAGGAGTGAAGAGGGAGCACATCCGACTCATGGACCACTTCATGTGGACGCCAGAATTTGGGGACTAACTGGAAGGGGAAGGATGAGGGAAAAGAAGGCATCCAAGATGATACTAAGGTTTTGAGTGTGAAGGGCTGGGTACATCCTCTGAGATCTGGATGTGGGAGGAGATGCTCTCAGTGACCACTGGAGGGCTTGTCAGCACATCCTGAGTTTGAGGTGCCCTGGGTCTCCCAGGCAAAGGTGCCCAGGAAGCATCAGGGTCTATAGTTCAGGAGTGAGGTCCTCGCTGGAGAACCCGATTTAGTGTCCTTGGCACAGTGACGAGGTTTGAAGCCGAGGCAATGGATGACACTGACAAGGGAGACTACTCGGGGCCAGAAGAAATCGGTCCGACCGACCAGGTATGTGAGTCTGCATTACACCCAGACTGCTGACCAGCCTACCTTTCCTTTCCACCTGTCCCAGTCTCAGCTGGCCCTCCAGGCCTAGTCCCACCCCCTCCAGGAAGCCCTCTCTGACTATGCCAGCCCCAGCGGTCCCTGCCTGCTGGGAACATCTCAACACTGGTAGTCTACCCCTCAGCATGGAACCTTGTGCCGCCACCGGAGCCAGTCCCCAAGCACTTTGAGGGCAGATACACCGCTTACCCCCTTGGCTCATGGAGTCATCTGGCACAGAGCACCCATCAGGCCCTGAATAAATAGCTCCTCCATGATGGATTGATTCATGGATCGATTGCTGTGTTGGGAGGTCAGGAAGAAGAGTAAGGGGACCAGTGAGTCGCTGAGTAGTGATAAAAAGACACCTGAACGTTGGGTACATGCAGCATCCACTCTTTGCGTCTCATCCCCATGCATTAGATCTACATGGATCAACTCGGGCACAGCTCAGAAACATTGTCGAGTAAAAAGAACAAGTTGCAGGTGTATGTTAAACCCACCGGAGCGGTCAGTGCTGCCGACCAAATCTCTCTGGTTCTTCCAGGCACAAGGCAGGACTGCGCTCCCCCCGCTCCCCCGGGGGAAGGAGAGGCCCTAAGGCTCATCACTCTGGCCAAGAAAATGGGAGCAGAAGCCTCAAGGGCCAGCACACAATTCACCATTTCCCCTTCTGCCTCTCTCAGCCTCCCTCAGTCTAGATCTCTTAGTAACTCCTAGGAACAGAACCCCACTGCACACCCTTGTCAAACATGTACCAGAGTGAAATACAAATGCTTGCTGTGTAAATAAATAAATAAATAAATAAATAAATAAATAAAGTCTAAGGCAAAACTATGATGACCTCAGGTGGCTGTGCCTGGTGGATATGTGCAGTGTTTCTGGGTGGTGGCGGAGGGGGCACCTTTTGTCTTTTGGGACAAATGGTTCTGTGGTTGGTTGTATGGACGGTCCAGTCTCTGGCCCCATCCATGAAATGCCAGAGGTGTCCCCATTATGTGACAACCCAAAAACATGCTCCCCCCATTTCCAAACACTCCTGCGGGGTGATACCAGTCCCAAGAGACCCATGAATGAAGAGGGTTCACTAGAAGTAGGGGTTGGAGGCACGGCAGGGCCCAGGTGGCACAGCTGGGCTGCAGAAGAAGAGGACCTGACCAGCAACACTGCATAACCCGCTGCAGTGCTCAACTTAGATGTGACCGGTTGAGAATGAGGATGATATTTTTCACAGCCGACAGAACAGAGTGAGATTATCTTGGAGGGAGATAAGAGAGATGGACGTCATAGCGATAAAATACCCCGATGCCCATGAACTCTGGCCTTTACATGGAGTAGCACAGGATCCTCCGACAATCCACAAAGTATGTTATTATCCTCTTCTACAGGTGACAAAACAGAGCTGGACAGGAAGGGGACTGTATGAGTGGGACAGAGGTAAGTGGGACAGCTGCTCTGGGGCAGGTGTGACAGGCCTTGAAAGAGAGGGAGAGTCTGAAACAAAGCAGGTGGGACTAAGTGACAACCTGGATAGGATGGGGCTGGGGTGGGGTGGGGGAGGAGTGGGGATCAATGCCTGGGCTGTAGGGGGAGGAGAAGGGACTCAGGTGTAACCTTTTACCTTTTCGCTGAAGGCAGATTATGTGGCCTAGACTCCAGCCAGAAGCCGGAGCTATGGACTGACGTGAACGGGAGAGGCTCCTGCCAGCTGCCCTCCTGGAGGCCAGGCTTCCCTGGGGAACAAGGCATCAGGGAGCCGCCTGAGGAGCTGGGTCTCCAGTCCGGACTCAGTGGCCTCTCAGGGCAGGAGCAACCTCTTCACGCACACCAGCTAAACCTTAGCAGCACCCCTGGGCCCCAAGGACCATCCTTGAAGCCAGAGAGAGGAAGGCAAGTCCAGATGCACCAATCCTTGGATGAGGTCTTAGGTGGCCTTTAAAGGACCCAATGATATGAGGACACAGAGACACACGAGGGCGCTCTAACCAAATAGCAGGGGAGGAAACCGGTCCGTCCCCACAAGGAAAGATGGTTAGTAGTTTGAAAAACCTTTGGTCTAGTGTTTCCCAAAGGAGCTGCCATTGGAAATCTGGGCAGGATGTTTCTCCCCCCAGGGGGAGGTGTCCCTGCCACTGCAGGGTGGTTGCCATCCCTGACCCACTCCCGGTCACTGGGACAACCCAACTCCCCAAGTTTCACTTCCAAACACTGCCTCTCCAGAGAGTCCCTGCTGGTCAGTGCCACCGGAGGATGCCCACTGGTGGCCTTGGGCAGCTTGGCAGCCTCTGCTCTCCTCAGCCTTACAGAGGAACCCGCACCTCCCCCTTTGACCTTGTGAGTTAGGCATCTGCAGGTGCTGGGGTATCACAGCCCCTCAGTGACAGCTGGTGCTCACGGGGACTGTTGTATTGGGGAGGTAGGTTTCCCTCCATGCTGTTGTCTCTCAGGACCGGTAGGATGAGGCTGCATTGATCACATTGGGGACACAGACACAGGACCCTGAGACAGACACCACAGGACCTGCTTACAGACACCCATATCCCGGGGCGCAAACACGTGGCCACACAGAACACAGCTCACACAAAACTCCCACAAAGTAAGCCTGAAACATGGCCCCCTTCTGGAGCCCGGAGGGCCCCACCGTCATGAGTACTGAGGTGTTTACATCATTAGGTTTCCAAAGACAAGCACCAAGGTGAAAACACAGGGATGAGAGTCTATATATTTACCAACCAGTGAGTCCTGGATCCCGGCCAGTTGGAATGGAGACCGGTGTAAACAGCTGGCACGTGCGGTGTGCTATCAGCTCTGCAAACAGCCTCGTTGGCAGAGGCCAGTCCCCTGTGGGACACCAGGCATGCCAAGGTGGCTGCTTGGGTGGACAGAGGTGACGTTTTGGGAGCACACCCATGGTAAATGGCAGTCTGGACAGGACCTGGGAGACTCCCTGTCAACTCCAAAGCAGGACTGGAAACCGGCCAGCACTGGAGGGAATGAGGGGCTGGAGAAAGACCCAGACCCTCCAGTCCACAGGGTACCCCAGAGTCCCCATCCTCCACCAAGTAGCTTGGTGTTCTTAAACAGAATTGGCCTGCACGTCCTACAAAGGTGGCATCTGCTGGAAGGCACGCCCGGAACCCCAGGGCACCTGTGGCACAGCCCTGCCAGTTGAGATGCTTACCACCTCTGAACACAGGAAGGGCCGCCCCAGCCTGCTGGCTGGGTGCTTACTCCACAGGAAGCAAACATTGCAAACCAAACATGATTCTTACCCTCCTTCGAAGATTTTGATCCTCGCCGGCTCCCCTCTCTTGGAGGCAGGAGCGTCCTCCTCCGGCTTTCCTCGCTTCTCTTCTTCCTTCTCCACTCTAGCTATATCTTTTTGGCCTTCCGGGGAAACCAGCGAAGGGAGGTGAACCTGGCCCACCGCAGGAAGGACAAAATCATTGCTGGTTACATGGTAATAATGGAACGATGCCTTCAATGGCATTGCACTCTGACACTTAATCGTGGTTCACTTTAATCTCCACTCCACTAAGGGAAGAGGTGCTGCGAGGCCCACTTTACAGAAAGAGGGAAACCGATCCCCAGAGAAGTGAAGGCCCTTATTCAAGGCCACGTGGTTAGGTGGTGTCAAAACTGGGACTCTGACCCAGTCTTTCTCATGGGAAGACCAGGTCTTCTCAGGAGAGCTGCGTTTGCTCTTTCTTTTACACTAGTCTGGGAGTTTCTGGGGACAGATCCTCCTCTTGGTCTCCTCGGTCATGCCAGCACCCAAAACAAGGCCTGCCTCAGAGAAGGCGCTTAAGGAATGTTGAACAAATAATTGAAGACTCGGCCTGTGGAGATTAGCTGGTCCAATTCTCTTTTATAGATTAGAAAGTTAAGGTCACCCAGCAGGTTACGGGCACTGCTGGGGGCAGAGCGGAGGTCTCCTGAGGGCCCTGACCAATAGAACCCCCACAGAGCTGGGTACATAGAGGCCGTGCTGGCCCACCGATGGGCATAAGCCTGAGGGTGTGCAAGCTCTGAGTTGTTCATTTCTGGGGACCCATTCTCTTCACAGGCCTCAGTGGTGAGAGCTGGCTTGATGGACACATGTCCTCTAGACCCTCTGATGGCAGCAGGGGTTGGGCATACCCTTGAATAGGGAGCAGTGATGCTGGGCTGGGTATTGGGGCTAACAGTGCTGGGAGTGAGCTGGTTATCCTACTGCATGCCACTCAGGAAGGTCATGAGAAGCTGCACTGATCAAAGCTAGCGGGAGAAGCAACCATGACTCCAGGTGCTGCAGTCCTCTGTGCCAGGCGACACACCTATCCTGACAAGGGTGGGTTGGGGCTGAGCAGAAAGGCAGCTGGTAGGGAATCAGGGAATCTGAGTTTTAGCACCACACAGGCCACTGCATGCTGGTAGGAAACATGCCAGTGAATCAAATGGAATATTCCAAAAACAAGCTTGCAAGTTTCAGCTCATTTTAGGGAAGTAGCATTTTAAACAAATGACTGCCAAACCCAGTTAAGCCAAATTAACTCTTCCTTTTTCTTAAATGGACTTTTAGTGTCCAGTCATTAAAACAGAGAGGCAGTCCAGATCATCTGAGAGGACTTTGAGGGAGATCTAGTTTCAAATCTAGGCTCTGCCGTTTACTGTGTGGCCTTGTGAAAGTTATCTAACTTCTCTGTGCTTTAGCTTTCATCCATAGAATGGTGATATAGTATTTTAACTTTCAAGGTGGCTGTGACTATAAAAGTAAAGTTTAGCACAGTACTTGGCACATAGTAGGTGTACAAGTAATAATAAGTATGAACATAATTACAACAGCCTCTGGGGAGTAGCCTTAACCAGTATGAGACACCAAAGAGCAAATCAGTCATGATGTTTATGACAAAAGTGGAAATCTCATTTAGGGATATCTGTAGACTAAGGACATTTAGAGAATAAATATGGGAAACAGTTCTTTGAAGAACATTCAGCTGGGCTAAGAACAAAGTCAATGCATAAAATTCACTCAGTGATAAAAGAAGAGGATATGAATATAGGAAAGTTATAGAACACACTTTTGTTTATTTGTCTATAATGTGAATTTAGTGTAGGCGACTTATGCCTGATTTGGGCAAAGCACCTGGTCTAAAGACACACTAATGAACACCTTTAAATTTGCAGTCATTTCCCAGGCTTTCTTTCTTTAGATAACTAAAAGAAGAAAAATAGATTCTCTGGAGTCAGACAGGTCTGGGTTCAAATTCTGGGTTTGCTGAATATTTGCCCTGTGACCTTGCCCTCTCTCACCTTCTGACCTTCAGTTCCCTCTGTAGAATGAAGATGGTCCTGCTACCTCACAAGGGGGGATGAGCATTGGCTGGATTCAAGGGCCCAGCACAGTGCCTGGCACAGTGAGGCTGCTCAATCAACAGACCAATTGTATCGCACAAATGCCAAGTTGACATAACATAGCACGGTCTGAATCCTTAGGCTGGCCCTGTCAGGGTATGGAGGTGTCATCTGTCTGACGCAAATGAAATTATCAAATTTCAAACTTCCTGAACTTGCAGGGACCCATTCATTTAATAGCTCCTGATGCAGCCTCAGGTCAGATGCAATGGAGGAGTAAATGTGAACCCTTAGTCGGGGCTGGGTGCTACCACACAGCACAGATGGGTCGAGCTGGGAGGGATATTGCCACTTACTGGTAAAGAGGGATAATATAGCCCAGCTCTATCTACTATCCTATTCGCAGAAAAGAAAGGATGATTTCAGGAGTTGTCAAATTCTAGAATCTCTGGAAATGGGAAGATTTCAAGTGGTGCCAGAGAATGGAAACAGCAGACGTAGACAATAAGAACAGTGAGGAAAGGCTAACGGGACAGAAACATATGATGAAGGGGCATAAAGCTCTAAAATTGCTGCAGGCATTCCCATCAGCCAAGTTTTCCAAACAGTCTTTTGGAGAATTGTTTTTTGTTTTATTTTCCTGGCTGAGACTGTGTCTTTGATTTTACAATAGCAGCTAATGGGAAAACAGGATCGCTTTAAAGCTCCCTTTATTGAAAGGTATCTATTCTGATGATGTCAGGGACACGCTGACAAAGGAACCCAATAAAGATGCTTCCTGGTAAGATGACCAGTCCCAACTGACAGAGAGGAAACCTGCCTCCTCTTAGGCTCTAGTTTTGCAAATGGAACCTGAGACGACGGTGCCTTTAAAAGCTCAGCAAAGGCTTTTGCAATCAGTGGGGAGAAGAAACAGGCTGAACTTACCTCTGTCATGCGGGGCTTGCGGGAGCTGGATGGCACGAGCCTTCCTGTCTCAGGATGTGGAGCTGTGGCCATGGTGTATGTCTCTTTGCTCACCTTCTGCTTAGACCTCAGGAGGGACAAAGCAGCTTTAGTGGAAACCCCCGGAAGGTTGGGGTTGTACAAACTTATGCACCAACCAGCGTAAACAGAGGACCTCCTATCTGCATGCTGGATGTGATTTGGCTTAATGTAGTTTAAATAGCACCAACTGACATTAGTGGTCGTGTGGAGGCTGGGGAACTGCAGTACCTTCTTTGAGTCCGTACCTTCTTGCAACTTGGCTGGTCTGGGGGACGTTTCTGACTGAGGAAGCGAGCTGGGAGGTGCCAGTGAAGGGAGGTCAGGCTGTTCCTTGGAATCTTCTTTCTTCACACTTAGTGGAGGCAAGACTCTTCGGTGAGGTTTACCAGATGGCTGGGCATATTCCTTCAAAGCTTCTGAGCCTGGGGCTGTCACATGGGATAGTGTGGGGTGAGGGAGGGGAGGTATTTCCTTTGGGTCAGATGGATCTGAGGGCAGGCTGGACAGTGATTCTAGTTCCCTCCTGCCCTGGCCCTGGCTTCCCAAGTGGGATTTCTCTGGTCTCTTGCCATCCTCAGGGCTAGTAAGCACCACACTGCATGGTTTTACCAGCTCTAGTTTTTCATCTGCCTTGGAAGCCTCCTCTTCCTTCACCCTTTTTTGCTGCTGGGTTTCCATGGTAAGTTCAAGGCTGCCAGCTGGTGAAAGGACGCGTTTGCTTCCTCCCACTGTCGATGAACTCCCCTCCAGGCTCAAGACACTCTCTGACGACAGGGAAGTGCCTTTTCTTTCAGGTAATGTCACAGGCACTCTCAGGTATGGAGTCTGGAAGCCTCTGCTCTGCTCTTCACTTACCCCGGCCAGTCCGGGCCCGACCTCGTACACATCTGCCCCACTCACCATTGTCCCTTTGCATGGGGGTTCCTCAAACTTGGGAAGAGCCACGGTTGCTGAGCTGCCTTGGGACTGGGTGACTAGGATCTGGGAGAGAGTGGTGTACATGGCGCTCCCATAGGACGGCATGTTGGTCTGAATTCGGACAGGCACAACTAGGGACACCATGGTGTCTGGACAGGCAGGCAGGGCCAGTGGGGGAGCTGATGTGGGTGCTGAGGAGCTGGCTGCGGGAGCCACGGGGGGCAGCTGGATGTCACTGCCGTACTCTGTGCTGGGGGACAGGCCAGCCGTCCCTGTTGCCAGTGGGGCCACGCTGGTTTTGATCTGTGGCAGATGGCTTTCCACATCACCTGGGAGCTGGAGGGTGAACTGGGATTGCAGAGGCAGGAAAAACCCAGAAGAGAGTGCTGAGGAGGCCGGGTATGGCATGGGCAGGAACGAGGGGGGCTGCCGGAAGGGGATGCTGGCTGGGTGAGACATGAGCTGCGGGAGGTGGAGGTGGCCTGGGTGCAGAACAGTAGGTTGGAGAGGAAGTGGCGGGGCTTGAAATAAGGAGGGAGGAAGAGGGGGCATGGAGTATGGTGAGGAGAGGAGGCTGGACATGGCCCGAGTGGAGAAGAATTCTGAAGACTGTCCTGGCTCGTGCTGCAAGAGGTGCTGGAAGGAGAAAAGGGAGACAGGCGGAGGCAGGTATGGTTTCTCCTGCAAGGGGAGCTGGGCAATGGGGTGGTGGAGCACCTGCAGTGCTTCTGTGTAGGGCGGAGTGGACCCCAGCGGGGGCCTGTCCTGGGCCTGGCTCTTGCTTCCCGGATACCCACTGTGTGAGGTGGCCACTGAAGACGCCTGGGGCAAGGAGCTTTTGGCCGAAGGTTTACTGGATGAGGGCTTTGGTTCCTCGCTCTCCTGTCTTCCCTTGGGGGCAGCCTCTGGCTCTGGTTCTGGAGGCCTGCTCAGAGAGGCCTGTCTCACCAGAAAGCATTTTCTTCTCTCTGGTGGCGCCACTGGGGCTGCTGGGGCTGCTGGGGCTGCTGGAGCCACTGGGGCCGGTGCAGAAGGGCCTGTCAAGGACAAGCTGCCATAGTCGAATGATTTGCTGCGTGCCTCGGTCATGTGGGCGGAATGGGAAATGTTGGGGCTCTGCTCTGAGGCTGACCTCCGCATCTCTCGGGTGTGCGGGTGGTGGCTGGGGACGGTCAGCATGTGAGTGCCCAAGGGTTTGGAGTGCGTGTCGGACGAGGGCCCGGGGGCCTCGGCTTTTCCGTGGTCATCCCTCTCAAAGGATGCAGAGCGGCTGGACCCGCTCAGAGAGACATTGCTTTCCTGGCTTGGGCTGCGGGACAGAGGCACAGAGGACTCAAAGCTGGACTCCCCCGATGACTGAGCCATCTCTGCCAGGCGCAGTCTCTTCTTCTTGGGTGGCAGTTTCTCGGCTGGGAGCTGGGCGAGCGTCTGGCTGCGCTGGGGCCACTGGAACTCCTCCGTCTTCTCGGGCTCCTTGGGAGGGGGCTCTGGCTCTGTGTCCTGCCGGTCGGGCTCCTCGGTCACCAGGATCTCGGGAACCTGAATGTTGGGCTGGCGGACCAACTTGGGCTGCAGAGAGTGAGCCAAGCGTCCATGCGGGGCGGGTGGGGGCGATGAGAACGGGGCCAGAGACTTGTCTTCCCCTTCCAAGCCACTGGGCTGCTCCAGAGAGTCAGACTTCTCAAAGGAGCTGGTGTGCTGAATGACCGAAATTTCTTTGGACGTTGTTCTCCTCTCCTTCCCTGACTCAGAACCAGACCCGGGCTTGGGAGTCCTTGGCTGGAAGCCTGAGGGTCCCTCCAAGGAGGGCACTGCCTTACTTGGTTCTGCTGGTGACTTGGTGGACTCTGGGGGAAGGTTCCGAGCAGCATCAGATGGCCCGGGGCTGCCAAACTGACTTTTTGTGGACTCAAAGGCAGGTGGCTCCTCCTCATCCCCAAGGCTCTTCTCTTTCCTCCTCTTCCTCAGCGGAGTGAGCTCCAAGGTGGTCCCCAGTTTGTAATGCATCATCTGGGACCAGGGCTCATGCTCAGCCTGACTCTTCTCAGCTTCCGGAGATGCGTGAGCACCTGCAGAGACGGGCTTTGCGATCTGAAGCTCTGAGCAGTAGTATTTCTTATGGGCCTCATAGTTGTCCCTTTTCTTGTACCGAGCACCACATATGTTACATTCATAGGTCACCCCTTTTGTTTTCAAGCCCTTCTTGGTCTTTTTGGTGAGTTCGCTTTCCTTGGGTTCCGGCTCATCTGCGGGTTTGGGGGCTGTGTCTTTGCTACTTGGCCCTGCCTCCTCGGAACTGTACTCCCCTCCCAAAGGTAGTTCAATGGCCGGCTGACGCTTGAGCATCCGGGGGTGGGAGGTAAACACTTGACTGCTGCGGCTCAGCGCTTCGGAGTCGGTGATGTGGTCGTCGAAGGAGTAGCTACCACGGAAGGTGTGGTGGGGGGTACTGAGGGTGCAGGCGGCAGAAGGCATTGAGTGGCTTCTCAGCAGAGGCACAGGGGGAGTGGTGCTGGGCGGGTGCTGGAGGCTCAGCAGTGATTGTTCCGGCTTCGTTTTCTCGCTGTGAGATGACAGAGGCTCCCGGTAGAGGCTGGATTTGGGCGACTCCATGCTGCTGCGCCGTGACAGCGAGCTCCTCCTGGGCTTCACGCTGTCTATCTCGCTGGTGTCCACCACAGCCTCGTTGATAGTGATGAGCTTGGTGATGTGCTCGATGACCTGTGTCCGCGGCACAGACAAAGGCACCAGGCTGGGCTTGTCTTCGGTGGACAGGGGCAGGAGGGGCTGGGTGCAGGTGGCCGTCAGCATGGTGGTCCGCTGCCCGATCCGCCCGCACTTGCCGAAGATGATCTCTGCGTAGGACCTGGCATTGGTGTTCGGGGGGCTGACCTGCTGCTCGGCGCTCTCGGAGCGGGAGAAGTACCCAGATTCAGTACTGCCCTTGCTGCCTGGGCTCAGAAACGTCTGCTCGTCGATAACCTTTTTCCTTTCGCTCAGGCGGAGGGCCAGCTTCTGCTTTATGGTGTGGGTGTCTTCGGGTTTATGGCTCAGGGGGTGCTCTGATGAGGGTTCTACAAATGGAGTGGGGTCCTCGAGAGACGGGGCTGAGCTGGATTGGGACAAGGAACAGCGTTCATGGCTGGAACCCTGGCTCCCAGAGCTGTACAGGCTGCTGGACAGGAGAGGGTGCTTAGGCCTGGGGGATAGCTCTGCAGGGTGAGTAGACGCGGTACCCGTTTCCTCTTCTGAATCGGTGCTTTCTCCCTCGGTGGGCTCCTCAAACTCTTCCCCGGGGATCCTTTCCATCTCCAGCCCCGGGGGGTACATCTCACTGCCCACTCCCGAGGCCAGGCCGGCTTTGATGCGGTGGGCATGGGACTTCCTGTGCTTGTAGAGGTTACTCTTGGTCTTGAAGGAGAAGCCGCAGGGGCCACAGGGGTAGGGCCTCTCGCCCGTGTGTGAGCGGATGTGTTTCTGGAGCACGCTGGGCTTGGCACAGGGCCGGCTGCAGTACTGGCAGATGTACTTGCCTGGCTTCTGGGGTTTCCTCTCCTTTTTGTGTGCCTCTTCCATGGGCTTCAACGGGACCTGGGAGGCACGGGGCACAAAGACTTTGGGGAGGCCAGGCAGGTCCTCGGGGGGCATGATGGAAGCATGGGAAGGGAGGAGCTGGCTCTGAGGATGGAGCCCAGGAGTCACAAAGGAGCTGGAGGGTCCAGGTCTCATGGGGTCGACCAGCTGCCACGTGGACCCCTCCAGGAGGTGCTCAGGTTTGCCGGGCGACATGAATGCTGGTGTCAGAGGGTGCTGCGGAAGCTGCGAGATGTGGACGGAGGCTTCGATGGAGGACCTCTTGGGGGGCTTCTGCTGTTGGCCCATTTTCTCCTGAGAGCCTTCCCTAAGAACCGACGATGAGGGGCCCGGGAAGGGCTGCGGGGCTAGGAGCTCTTGGAGGGGGCCCTCAGGGGTGGCAGCCGTGCTGCTGCCTGGGTAGGGGGCGCTGGCCGAAACACTGGTCTGAACGGCTTCTCCTTTAGTCAGCCGCTTCCGGGGACTTCCCTCAGCCTTCTTGGTGCCCTTGACACTTTGTTCAGGATCCATGACCTCCACGGAGACTTTGGATGCTATTCAGGGAGGGCAGGGGCAGGCTGCATTTATGAATAATCCAAGTGTCCCAAGGAGGCGTCTGGCTTTGGCCACATTGGTCAAGAGCTGAGGAAGCCAAACCCAAGACGGCTTTGGGAGTTTTTTGCAAGTGTCACTGGCTGTGAGTGGACTCAGAGCAGGTCATCAGGGCTCAAACGATTCACATTGGTGAGGCATGGCCCTCTACTTTGCAGACAGAAAATGCACCAGCACTTTCTGCCTGAATGTCTGTCGTGGAAACGTCATGAAGGACGTCAATGTTGCCATCATATTGTTTCAGTTGGCAGTGGCAAGTGGCCCCCCACGAGTCCCCTGTGTGCTATGCGAACTGTTGAAGGCAGGGGATGTCTGTGTGCATGGCCCAGTCATCCCTAGTCCCGGCACGAGAGAAGCCACACTGGATGCCGTGGGTGGCTCCGGATGGCCTCTTCTCTCCTTTAGTCCTGTGTTGGAGATCACCGCGTTGGAGGGGAATTCACGTTCTTCTATATGACAGACACAGACACACGGAAATACACACACACGAAAGAGAAGAGACAATTATTGCGACTCGTCCACAGCCTGGACAGCTGATCTCCTGGTCCCTGGCTCTACACATCTGGGCACTGACCATCCCTCCCTCTCCCACATTCACAGTGCTGTTGGTGACTTGTGTGCCAACTGTGTTTCTGGGGACTGTGGAGCAGAGAGTCACAGCATTTTTGGACGGGAGGCCTGGGCTCCAGTCTCTGCTCTATGAGCAGGTTTTAGCTCCCTAAGCACCAGTTGCCTAATCTACAAAATGGAAAACAACAATTCCTGCCTCAACTGTGCCTCGGAGTCCAACACGATAATGGACGTGGATGCCGCTGGATGAGGGCTGGTCGGTGCAGGAGGGGGAGTGGGTGGATTATTCAGGGATGAGCTTTCTAAGGAGTAGATTATTCTTAGGTTAGTGTTACTCGCCTGCTGCTGGATTCTGAAGGTGTCCAAGAGGGACATCATTCATGGCTTTCCCCCGCCCCTTCTAACCCACCTCGCTAGTCAGTATTTCATGGGGAAGCCACTGCCCTAATCTGTGGGAGCTCAGTCTAACACAGCTGTGACTATCTGATCTGCCAAGCAATAGCGGGGAGGATCATTCTGGAAGGCTCCTCCAGCTTTGCAGTCCTTCCTTGTCTGGTCAGTGCCCCAGTCAGAACAAAGGAAAATGTAAATAAAACAGGAAGTCAGGATGGTGGGATGGAAAAAAACACTGGCATGCCTATCATAAGGACTTAGATAGTGTCTACTGTTCAGCTATACACTCATACCTGAGCTTCATGGCAGTCAGGGAGAAAAGAGATATGGTTCATTACAGAGTCCTTATAACCAGAAAGGAAGAAATATCTCAGTTCTTTGCAAGAAACAAAGGGTTATTGGAAAGAACTTTTTCATGTGGTACTTCAGAGAGGGGCCGTGAATGACGCATGAGATCATCTGTGTCTTCAAATGACATCCCTCCAACAAATGCAGTGATTGGTTGTTATCAATGGAAGGTCACAACTCAGCAAAGGCTATTCGTTGAGCAGTCAAAGGCTGTCTTTGCCTCAGGCAGAGAAGGCATCCTTCCAAAGCAGGGTTAATGTGAGGATGGCAGGGAAACCTCATTTCATCATATTACCATCAGTAGGGGAGCCATGTAAGATATCATGCAAACTGGGGCACATTTGAGAATGAAAGATGCATTACTAATGGTTATGGAGGAGCAACAGGAATAAATCAGGGCTTTCCCAGGCAAACGGGGACAAGTGGTTACCCTTACAATCAATATTTACCTTGAGACTGAAACCAGGTACAAGTGCTGACTCTGGGTATCGGGTACAAACTTTTGATCTTTGCTATGAGGACTGAAATTACACTGTGGTCTCCTAATGGATTCTTAGAGATTGGCTATCTAGGCCAATCCTCTCACTTGACAGATGAGGAGACCACACCTAGAAGGATGATGTGATTTCTCCTAAAAATTGCACAGTGATGGTGGCAGAGCTAGACATCTGTGCCTCCTGAGCCCTGGCCAGGGCTTGTCCCCTGCCTCAATGAATCAATACCCTCTATGACTTCTGTGGCACAATGGGCACTGCAGTCTATGGCTCTCAATCTGTGGAAGCACTGGTGTGGCTCCAGGGACATGGCTGTATCTTCAGTGAGGAGTGAGCACAGGTGTCTAGAGGCTTAACAGCAAAGGAGGCCTTCCAACGGATGTCCTAACTTCGCTCTAGCTGCTGAACAGAAGAAATGGGGGGGTCCATCCTGGTGGCATCACGCCAGGCCTTACCTATCCAAGCTAAGGTGAGCAGAAGTGCTGAGTCATCTAAAAGTCAGACAAGGCTGACTGACCACGTCACTGTACACCTGAAGCTGAATAATATTATATGTCAACTATAATTCAATATATATATTGTCACGGGATATGGGGTATAGTATAGGGAATTGAGTCAATGGAATTGTAACAGCTGTATACGATGTCAGAGGGGCAATAGATTAGGGGAGGGGGATTATCACTTTGTGAGGGGTGAAATGTATAACTATTACATTGTTTTGTACACCTGAAAATACTTTTTAAAAAATGTGTAATAAATAAATAAATAAAGGTCAGACAAGGCAGATGTCCTCTGCAGTATGGGTGAAGGACTGTTCTCCAGGCTGGTCAGGAATTCCCTGGCCTGGTTGCACCTGTGTGGGGGAGAGGCCCTTGGGTGCTGGGTATGGATAATAAAGGGTTGCCTATACTTATTATTTCTATTCACCCTTTCATGCAAGGATCTCAAAGCACCCCCAAAATACTAGCTAGTGGTAAGCTTTGCTTCTTCTGATGGCTTGACCGTGTGGTGAATTATCACTCTGAGTGGGGGTCAGTTGGTCAAGGAGGACCCTACATTGTCCAGTCCTGCAGTTGTCCCTTCACTAATTCTCAAGACTCTCCAGGGGCAGGTGGAGAAGCACCCAATAGCTGGGGTTTGGGGCAATTCCCAGGCCAGGTGGGAGGGACGGAGTGGATGAGGAAGACAGTCAGGTGACTGTTGTATCATCAGATGACACTCTGGGCCAGCATGGTCTGCCTAAGGTCAGTAACTAGCCTACACCTATGAGCTGGGCCCGGTGCTCCCCGGGGAGGGCCCTCTGAGCAAGGAGAACCAGCACACGTTAGCACTGTCGGCCACCCAGATCATGGAGTCAGTGGGTCTGGGGGCTAGAAGGCCCACTCCTTCATTCTGCAGGCAGAGCACCTGGACCATGGCGGGAAACGACCAGCCCAGGGTCACGCCAGTTCTCAGATTCCTGGGCCAGTGCTCCCTGCTACCCTGCCCCATACCTCATGACAGATTTTAGGTTCTTAATACAAGAGGCAGTGGGAGCGGGCAGCTGGAACCAAGGGTGCAGACGTGGGGCAACAGGAATTAAGAGGACTTCAGCCTTGGAATTGATTACAGTTCAGATTGGCATATACACTTTGTCACTTAACTCTTCAGCTCCTGTAGAAGGATGGCTTCTAATCACTGTGACCAATGACACTAAGACAATGGCCCTTTTCTATCTGCTGTGCTTCTGAGAGTATGTGCAAAGTTTTAATGTAAATATGAAGTAACAGAAAAAAAACCCTGCTTCTCCAGAGAATTGGTGAGGGTACGTGTAAAAGTCACCAGTGACATGAGGTCAGAGGTAGAGGGTTTTCTTGACAGGGCCCAAGAGCGGGGCCAACATGGGCCCGAGCCTCAGGCCCAAGGTAGGCTGGACGTCTTCTGTTGATGGTGGCAGAATGGCCATGGGGTCCATGTTGTCTGCCGCTGAGGCCAGAGCCCCAAGAGTTTTAATTTAGAAACCAGCTTAAAACCATGAGGAAAACCTGAGTTTCAAGTGCCGGTTGACTAACATATCAGACAACGTAGTTTCCACTTCTGGAAGCTTCCACAAGTTTAGCTGTTAGAACATCTCAACAGGGAAGAGAGCAGGGTCCTGGGGCTGGAGCCATGAGGACCCCAGGGGAGTGGGCAGTGATGGAAGAGCCAACAGGGCAAGGTGGCTCAAGCTCTGAAACCAAACTGGAAAGCACGGTCCACATCCAAGGCATTGGGACATCATGGCTGTAGGCCAGAGTGGACACCCCAGAGGGCTTTACCAGAGGGGAGATGGGAGATGGCTCTATCAAGAGGATGATTTCACCAGTCCTGGCAGGAGGCCAGCTTGAATCTGCCCTGGGCTCTGGACTAGGGAGCTTGGTCACCAGCCAAGTTAGATAAGATGAAGGCAAGACAGACACAGGGGGGTCTGAATAAAGTTCTTGGCTTGTAATTTACACACAGACACACACAGATACACACACACACACACACACACACACACACTGTGCCAAAATATGGTCAAAATTTTACTGATAGTAATAAAACATGCTGATCTTAAAAACACCAGGGAAGTAAGCTTTTCTCCTCACTTTAAGAGCCGAAACCCAGTGCAGAAGGCCACAGGCTGGACAGGAGGCAAACAGTAGTTCCATTTAATGATCCAACACAAACCCCAATGCCCCTTCCAAGAATCTTTGTGTGCGATACTGTATGTGGTGTGTGTGCAAGATGGAGTAGAATTTTTCACCTGCAAAGAGAAGTAAAAGTAACTGTGGGCTCAGATGGTGCCGAGACAGGTGAGATGTGGGGACGTAGGTCTGGAGACTAACAGGGAGAGGTTGTCAGAGAGCCACGAGGACACCTTGCCAAAGAGAGTGGCCAAGGCCAAGTGGGGTTCTGGCTGGGAAAGGGGAATGGGGCAGAGACTGAAAATGTCTCCCACTCTTTTAATAATCGAAGCCCGCAAACTTCAGCTGGGTTTATGGACACCTAGCTAGACTGTATTTCCCGCGCTCCCTTGCAGCCAGGGCCGGCCAATGTAATGAATGCAGCTTGCAGGTTACAACCAGAAAGAAAAGGACCCACCCTCCACATCCTCAGTTTTTCAGGAAGGAACATGGCTGCAAGGATGGTAGGGCAAGAAGACTGGAAGCAAAGTCATCTGCCCCTGAGAGCGAAATACACCTTCTATCTTGCGTTAAGCCACAGTTACTTGGTTCCTTTTGGGGCAGTCAAACAAACACACTCACAGGGGATTGGAGTACAATAGTGGTCGTGGGGAGGGTGAACACAGCCCAGGCCTGAGGACACTGGAACACAGGGAAAGGGAACAACACAGACTACAGTTTAGGTTTAAAGGACAAGATAGGCACCTGTGGTGAGGCAAGTGTCCAGTCACTAAGGCAACACACCACACAGAGATTCCAAAGGCAGCATCGCGACTCAGATAGCTTGTATTTGAATCCTCGCTCCTCCACCTTCTCACTGGAAATTCCTGGAACCTCTCTAAGCCTCAGTCTCCCTACCTGTAAAATGGGGACAGTAAACGTGCCATATGTGGTTTAAACTGAGTTAATCCATATAAAGCACTTACTTTGCATAGTACCTGGCATGTAGTAAGCATT